CCCCGACCCGCGCCCGCCTGCCCTCTGCCCGGACCACTGTTCCTCCCTCTCCCTCCTCCTTACGTCTTTGTTGGGGGTGGTATCTAGGGTGGGGAAGGTTCTGGGGTGCAGAGAAGCCTGAGGAAGGGGACTTGGGGATGGGGAGTGTTAGTGCGTGTGTGAAAAATATTAGCAGGAACTCCGTGTTGGATAGAATCCTCTGGACCAGGCCCTAGATTATGGAAAGTCAAGATTTTGAGTGCATCCCATCCCCTCGTTTACCGAGGCCCAGCGCCAAGGGCATCCTCAAAATACCGCACTTTAAAGGAAACGTTGGGAGGCTCCTCGCACAGGCCTCAGTGTGTGCCACGAGTCTTGTGGTGCATGGTGCAGTGCAGGGAGGGGCAGCAGGAGGAGAGCGTTGGATTTCATGTTTGCAGCAGTGGGTGGTAGTGATAACACTGTTCCGGGCCTTTTAGGGCACCTTTCCATCCGAGCATCTGCAAAGCCTGTTTTAAAGACACAAATCTGTATTTCCTAGCGACTGCCAGATAGTCCAAGTAAAAGCTGGGCCTAGGGTTCCTGATCTCTCCTACTGTTTACAGCTGTCTATTTTTTGGGAGATTGGATTATTGCTTACAATTCTTGCAAATGTAAGGTAGAATTTTAAAACTCTTAATTTTTTTGTAACACTACCACATTGAGAAAATGATCTTTAAGTTTAGTCTAGGGCTTTTTTTTTTTTGGTTAAGATGATAGTAAAAGGTAATTCTAGTTTTGAGATGGTGCAAGAAATAAAGGATGAAATGTGGGCTTGGAGCCTTTAATTAAAGTCCTAGAAAATATGATGGCTTATTTTGTGTCCATACTGTAATTGTTTTTGTTCCTCAGTTTCCCCATAGTAAAAAGAGGCTAAGCGTACACTCTTGCCTTCCAGGGGTGACATGAAGCTCTGCTAAATAACAAGTTTACGAAGTGCCCTGACTTGTTTGGGAGAAGATCAAGGGGCCTATGTACTATGTAGATTATCCTGATTTATTTTCATTTCCAAGCGTTAATTAGTATTTTTTTGATTATTTAAGAAATGAGCTCAGAAGCTACTTTTCTGCCCTTGGGTTAGGTTCTTTTGATTTGCTTGTATGTATATTTTTATATTGGGGTATTCAGTAATTGCATTTGTTCAGAATCTTATTTTTGGCTATTACTCAACATTATTTAGGGATTAGGTGTGCCACATAAGCACCAGTTTTCTGGAAAATTCTTTTTCTAATAAAACTCAAACTCATTTGAATGGCATTTGTATGCCTCCATGATCAGGCCCTGAAATAGCTTAACAGCCTTAATTTTTACTGCCTTCATCCTAATATATCCTTCCCCTACTTCTATTCTCTGAACCAACCTGTATCAGTGCCTTTGTGTGGATTTCGTTTTTCCTTTAATGCTTTGCTCCCATTTTTTACCTATCAAAACCCTGATTTTTCAGCATCCTGTACCATGAAGATGTCCTTAATTTTCCTCAGTCAGAATTGTTCATAATTTTCTCAGGGCCCTCATAAGTTATAACTTGTATTTCTGTTTAGTGCCTGGGTCATTCTGCTCTATGTTATGGTTATGTTTTACCCATGTGTAATCTACTGGATGGTAAAATACTTGAAGATGGTTATGGTGTATTAGATACTTTTGTGTTTCCCCAGTGCCTAGCCTAGGGTAGGGTAATTTCTCAATAAAAGTTGGAATAGTGTTTGCTAGGTATAGTCACCCGTTTAAGTATCAAAACATTTTAAAATTTTAGCCATGTATAGTGGAAGTCTTTTTTGGAAGTCTTTTAAAGATAAATGTTTTTCTTAATTTGGGAGTCATTATTCTGAATATTAGTTATCTCACTGCATTATAATACATTAATTCCTTAAGGGGTAGCTGAGATGTATAGGACTTCTTGCTGCTCTTCTAGTCTGTCCTTAGACTGCTGTGTGTTAAATTTCATTTCATATGCTTATTATATTTTCTGCCTCCTCCACATTCATATGTTACTTTTTGCTGCTGTCTGTCACTCTGCTTAACTGGAACAGCCCCCCTTCTTCACATCTGTGGGCCTTGGGTTGGAAATGTAATCTACCCTGTGCTGCATACTCGTTGTTGACTCATCCTGCCAACTCAGAAAACCCTGTAGTGTTTATTCCCTTTTGATACACTGGAAACTGGAGTTTAGGAGGGTTAACTCATTGGCCAGTGGTCACGTAGCTCATAGGTGACAAAACTGGAACTCTTATCCACGCTTCTCAAGTGTTCTTTACAGTAGATTGTGATACTCAGAAGACTGGTGTCTAAAGTAGTGGGTCCAGATGGGAATTGCCCTCTAAAGGGAATTTAGGAGGGATTTTTTGATTGTCGCAATGGTTGTGGCTAACCACTGACATTTTATGGGTGGGGGCCAGGGATGCTAGACTTCTTGCAATGTGTGGGACAATCTTGAACAAAGAATGTCCTGTATGATTTAGGAATATCCTGCCTAACATTCATGTAATATTTCTAGTTATCTTAGCCTAGAACTTCCATTTTAACAGAGACTGAATTTTGCAGTTTCTATTTCAATGTTCAGCTGTTGGGTAAATTGAAGGAAGATTTGTTTTGTTCACAACTTGACTTAGAGTTGTTTACAGTTTTGGAAAATTATATCACAGCTTTGCTATGGGTCTTCTAGTATAGTTTTGCCCCAGCATTCACATATTGAAATACTTATTACCTTGTTATAAATTATTTTTATTTCCCTTTTCCATTTATATTTTATTTAGGAGTGAATTCGTTTGAAATTGTCTGTAGGAAGATTGTTATTTCATTTCAGAGCGGTGAAGCATGAATTGAAAAATTTTTTATGGGAAGGGGACATTGAGTCTGATATGGTTGAGAACTATTGGTCTAAAGTAAGAGTAACTTCATCTGAGGAGCAACCTCTCATGAAAAGTGCCAGATTTATTAGTAGTAGGTAAGTTTTTGTGTATTGGGCTGTGCCTGGATGATTGAGGTCTGCTAATAGGTGACCATTAGATAATGCTTCACAGTGTAAGGCAAGGCTGTAGGGGCAAGAGGAGAAAAGGAAATGCCTACTGCCCAGAATCTTTTAAAGTGTGGTCTCATTTGGCATGGTTGAGATCATTTCTTGTGTAGAAGATAGAAAATTATTTCTTTAAATGTAGAACTTGTTTTGTTTTTTTACATGTATTACTGGTATTCGCGTGTTGTGTTATGCCCTGCTACTCTTCATTGGGTTTTGCAAAGAACACTTTTCTTGTCTGAGTGTTGAATTTAATCGTTGTGGGAGGCAGCATATTTAGGGTAAAGGACATTCTATTAGGAGACTTATTTCTACTACCAGTAATGGGATGTTTGGCAGGTAACTCTGTATGTTTCCTGTTAAATGGGGTTGATAACGTTATGAAGATCAATTATAAGGAATTTTAAAACATAAGGATGATTAGACTGTATTAAAAGAATTTCTTTCTGTTTTACATCTTCACTTAGTTTTCCTAGGAGATATGTGGAATATGCATCTTCTACATGTTTAAGGGAGTTCATTTATTAGCAGATCAACAGAGTAGGAAAGTACCTAGGAGAGCAGGTAATGAGAGGAGAATGATAGGATCTAATCTATGTAATTATTAATGAGTATGCTAATGAGACCGAATACTAGGTCGCATTCTCGTTTCTATTGGGATAGTATTTTCTAGTGCTTGAAAACATTTCATTTGGAGAAGGGCCAAAATTTACTAAATTAGTGTACCTTTAATAGTAGTTTCAAAAGTAGTGAGAGGGAGATGATCTTAAAAAGACTAGCTTAAAAGAGAAACTGTCTTTTTCCATCCGCTGCTAGATGAATACCTCTGTTCTCTCATCCTGCCCACTTACGGTAAAATGGTTACAACAGAGGTCAGGTTTGGCATCTGACGCTGATATGGAATTATAAAGAAATGATACTGAAAATACAATGATCAGATTGTAGTAGTTTAGATAGATTAGATCCTGAGTTAAGTATTTGACTATAGGTGTCTTAGAAAAAAATGGTTACTAGTTAGCTGTGAATGAAGAAGATGAATAAGTCTGTGATGGCTCAATATGGGGAACACACTTATTAAGGAAGGACTTGACCATGCTGAGGTTTTTACACAATTGAGATAGTAGCTTCACCTATAACAGTTAAGCATATAGATAAAAGAGTTTTTATTTTTCCCTCAAGGGAAAAAATGGTTTTGTGCTTGACTATACTAAATGTTAAGTGGCTTAGAAACTTTTGGTTCATGACATATTTGAGCCATTTTCACTATTCTTTGTTTTTAAATTTTTCCCATACAAAATTTTGTACATACATTGTTATGTGACCCTAATTGCTCTCCCTATACTGTGACAGCACACTCCTCCTTTCCACCCCTGATTCCCCATGTCCATTCAACCAGCTCCTAACCCTCTCTGCCTTCTCATTTCACTATTCATTTAAAAATAGAATATATTATAGTTCCCAGTTTTAAACTCAAGAAAGATCTATGATTTCAAGTATTGCTTAGGTAGATACGAGGTTTATGGTGTAGTTTGCGGAAACCTGAAATATTTTATAGTTCCATCATGTCTAGTAAGTGCAACTTAAAAAAAAAAAAAAAGGTAATTCATGCACATGGAACAAAATTCAAAAGGGTAAACAGTGAAAGCTAGTCTTCGCTACCCCTCAACTACCCAGTTGTTTTCAGAGGCAACCTCTTTTCCAGGTTTTTTTTTTTCCCCCCCAGAGTAAATTCCAGAAGGGGGCATTGGTGGTCCAATGGCAGAATTCTCACCTTTCATGTGACATAACCAGGTTCGATTTCCAGCCAGTGTACCTCATGCACAGCTACCACCCATCTGTCAGTGGAGGCATGGGAATTGCTATGATACTGAACAGTGTCAGCGGAGCTTCCACCCTAAGATGGACTAGAATAAAGGCCTAGTGATTTACTTCTGAAAATCAACCAAAGAAAACCCAGTGGATCACAGTGGTCCGATCTACAACCAGTCATGGGGATGGTGCAGGATCAGGCAGCGTTTAGTTTTGTTGTACACAGAGTCACCATGAGTCTGGACCAACTTGAAGGTAGCTAACAACAACAAGTCCACAAACAGATGCAATTATATGTATGTATTTAGACTAAAATAAAGATGAAATTTCACATCAGTTGAAACACGATGGATTCTTTCAGTAAATGATTTTGTGACAACCAGCCAGCAATTTGATAAAACCTGAAGAAATGTAGAAGTACTAAAAAAGTACTAAAAGAAAACATATGTGAAGGTATTATAATCTTGATAGCAGAAAAGTTGTTCTAAGCATGCCGTAAAATCAAAAACCATGAAGCAAATTTCACAGATTTGATTACATAAGAATTTAAAACTCCTGTGCCTCCCAAAACAATTTAAACAAGATCAAAAGACAAATGACAAACTGGGAAAAAAATATTTGCAAAGCCTGACAAAGGGTTAGTGATCTTACTATACAATGCACATTTAAAAAATCATTAATTAAAAATAAATCTCAGTAGAAAAATGTGCAAAGAATATCAGTAGGACACTTAAAGTAGTATAAGTGCCCAGAGCATACTATAATCTGAACTAATCCAGAGACACACGTGGTCCAAGTTCAGAGCTGGGGCTTGCTCAAGAAGCATGGTTCAACACCAAAAGTTGTTAAAAAGGAATTCCATTTGTCCTCAAAGCAGATTAAAGGGTATTTAATTCATAACCACATTAGTATTTCTTAGAAGCCCCTTTTTTCCTGCCATTTCTCTTGCTGCCCTGGGGCTTCTCACAGGTCAAACTCTAAAGTTTTCTCCCCCAATCCCAGCCCACAAAGTTGTTCCTCGCCCCCATTTCTTCCTTTATTTCTTTTAATATGCTAATCAATTTAGTCACAGCAAGTTCTTCCTCTTTCAGAAGGGAAAAATGAGTGGACAAATATGGGATTTTTAAAAATTTTATTTTGGTAGAGGAGGAGGGAGGAAGGTTGTGTACACTCACATGTTAAAAAATTTTGCCATGCCACACTAAGAAAATATTTTCAGTCTCACTAATAATTAAGGAAGTCCAGATAAAAAGTTTGTTCTTACCTGCCAAATTAGCAAGTATTAAGTAGAGTGCTATGGCTCAATGGTGAGGGTGTGTGAATACTCCATTTTACGCATTGTTACATTTTCATAGATGCCAGGCCTTTGATTCTGCATCCCACTTCTAAGAATTGAACCTGCTGACTCAGACTATGTTAAGGTGGGCCCACCATGTGTGTGTTTTTAAAAGCTCCATGTTCATCTTTGTTTCTGTTGCATTCAAAAGTGATTCCACTCTATATTGCAAAATCATTTGTACTACCTGTATTTGAATCACTTGGGATGCTGCTTAAACAGATTCACTGTTTCTGCCCTATACTAACTAAATCAGAATCTTTGGATGTCGGGCTCAGGAATCTTTTTTTAACAGTTTCACCATAATTGGATATATAATTGGCTGTATGGTTAAATAATCAGAACCATTATTACAGACTGAAGTTTGGAAACTTCTGCTCTGATTAAGCTCCCAATCTCACCCAGCTCAAACCCTGAGGAAGCCTTGAAAGAATTTGATCAGAATATTTAACCTGTCCAACTCTACCTAATTCCTTGAATTTCCATTCTCCTTACCTTGAAGTTCCTTTATTATCATTTATCACCCTCCCCTTTTTTGATACCTGTCTCCTAGGAAGAACATGTATCTCTTGCTAAAAGTCACTCAGTCTATCAAGGACTCTCCGCATCCCTCTCTCACACCTCTTTCAGACCTTCTGTGCTCTTCCAAGGGCCCTCCCTCCATCCCTCCTTCCACTTTTACTTACTACTGTGTTTTTGAGATTTATCCTGTTATTTGTGACTGTGATTCATTGATTTCCACTGGTGTGAAATATGCTATTAAAGGTGTATGCATAATATATTTTTTAATTTCACTTAAAGATATTTTGGATGTTTGAAATTTTTTTGTTCCAACTCATGTATGAAGGTTAATCTAGGCTATGTGATGTTTAAAGCATCATATTTTAAAAATTGTGGACATTTTTATGATTGCCATCCATCCTACTAGGTTTTAAGCTTGAAAGCAGGGATTATGTCTTATACACCCTATCCTCCATTGCTTAACCTTACATATGGCAGATATTTGTTTCATTAAACTGAATTTTGTTCTTTACTGTAAGTTGGTGCAACATCCTCTTGAAAACTTAGTTTTCTTCAAACCTTTTATCTCACAAAAGAGTACTCTACTCTTGATAAGCTAAGTACATAACCAGGATGTAACACATGAAAATTGCGTAAAAATCATCTCAACATCTTGATCAACATAAATATGAATTAGCAAGGCAAGAGATATAAAAAATTTAGTTCTTATTTGACAATTTTAAATTGGTATATCCTCGAGAAGTCTTTTTAAATATTAAGCATGACTTTAGTGTCTCTTTCTGCAGATGGAAATAGTAACCTCTGTAGTAAGCTGTGTAATATTTAACTAGTGTTTACAAGAAGCTTTCATTTCAGAGGTTTAGACTTACGGGAATAATGTAATTAAAAATTCCAGCAGAAATAGAGAAGATCAGTTATATTTTTAAACATTAAGGAATATTTAGCTTTATGATGCAGTTTTATTATAGGACTTGTGCTGTTATAATAAAAAGCCTATTGATGATAGGGTCATATTGGTATTATGTTGAAAAGCTTCTTGAAGGAAGGACTACCTCTCATACTTTGTATTCATCCCATCTGGGCCTGACACATTGGCTTTGGTTCACACTAACCAAGAAGGCTGGGGTTTACAATCCCAGCTCCACCCCAGTGGGGAAAACACTGAACTTGGGAGAAGCATTCTATCGTGTATGTGAAAGAGAACCATAGCTCAGTATAATGTGTCATGCATAAAACCTTTGCTGATTTTGAAATTCAAAGGGAA